AAAATATTCCTCATTCAGAAATACCCGGCGCGGGCCGCTGTCGGGCGGGCCTCCGGGGCGCGGGGGAGGGGGCGGGAAGGGACCTGGGCCTCGTGCGCCCCCCGCTCCGTCCGCGGGGCCCCAGGAGGCAGAAGGTTAAGGGTTCCTTTTATTTAGTGAAACATTCATCTGTACGTGACTGGGCCGTGAAGACGTCCTGAGTGTGCGGGGGGTGGGGGCGGCCGGGGGAGGGAGGCGCGCGAGATGGGCGCTCCCGCCCGCGGCCCGCGCCCCCTCCCCCGGGGCCTGCGCACTCCTCCCACCTCGCCTCGGCCTCCAGGCCTCGCTCCCGCAGCCCCGGCCAATCGTTCTTCCAGGCCGCGGCCCAAGCCCCAACTTGCCCAAGAGCGGTGGCTCGGCGGGGCGAGGCCGGGGTGGGAGGGGCAGTCAGGTGACCAGAGGGTGGCGAGGGCAGGGGCCGGGCCTGGCCGCCCTGCCCCGAGTCCCGGCCCCTCCGGAGCGCCGCCGCTGCAGCCTCCCTGGGGGCCGCGGGCCCGGGGGGGCGGGGAGGGGGCGTCCGTGCGAAGCCGCAGTGAAGGGCGAGGTCTTAAGGGGCCCCCCCGTGAGTGCAGGGGGTGCCAAGGCAAACGGTGGTGGGCGGTGGTGGGGTCACAGCGGTTCTCCTAAGCCTTAGGAAAGCCGGCGCGCCGCGGGACAGGGGCTCCTGGGCTGGCTGAGATCCCTGCCTTCGGAGTCACCTCTTCTGGGTCCGAAACTGTCGGTAGAGCCACTGGACGACGAAGGGCCACAGGAGGAAGAAGAGCAGCGTGGGAGCCGAGAGCCTGAGGGGCCAAGGGCGAGCCCTGGGCCGTGGCCTCTGCTACCAAGAGGGAGGGAGTCAGGGGCCAGCGGACACTCGGCGGCAGCCCCCCCCCCCACCGCCACCCCCAGGGGCCGCGTCCAGAACTCTGCAGGCGACTGTGAGAGCCTGCCCCCGGCTGCAGGGCTGGAAGGGAAGCCATTCCCGGTGTGTCCCCGGCATGTGGGACTCCCAACTCCTGTCCACCTCCTGCCCCCCAGGGCGGTCCCAGGTGCCAGGAGAGGCAGCAGGGGCTGCGCGCTCTGGGCCACAAAGCCACGACCCTCCCGGTAGGCACCGAGGACCCTGTGTGGTAAGGGACTGGAGTGCACTTCTAACGGGGCCCCTGGGTCTCAGAGGTTCCTTTTTAAGTGCTCTTCTGGTGGCTGACTCCCGCGCTGGGCAGGCCAGGGAGGGGGGAATGCGGGCTTCTTGTAGCCGCCAGCCAGGAGCTTCCAGAGGTGGTGGTGTGCCAAGGACACAGACACACACCCACATACACACACACCCCCACGCTGGCCACAGTGGTGGGCGTGAGCCTGGTGATGAACCTTCAGAAGCATGAGTCCATACTGGCACTCAAAAAAAGGGAATACTGGAAACCTGTCACCAGCGTGGTGGCTTTTAAATCCACTCCTTACTTTAAAAATAGATAATTGAGAAAGAACTAAGCACTTATCCTGTCTTTCCATAAGGCACTCACTGTATTTCAGGGAAACTCGACAGAAAATGGATAGTTCATAAATGTTACCGAAATAAGAGAATTTAAAAGCCAACTTTTTCTTTTTTTTTTTTTTTTTTTGCAATCATTAAATCAATTACTGATTCCGATTAAAGGTACCAAAACTGTCAAAGGGCCAGCGTTGGGGAGCAATGGATTAAAGCCGCCGCCTGCGATGCCGGCACCCTGTATATTGAGGAGCTGGTTTGAGTCTTTTCTGCCCCACTTCCAGTCCAGCTCCTTGATCTGTCTGGGAAGGCGGTGGCGTTTGACCCAAGTACTTGGGCCCCTGCCATGCACATGGGAGACCCAGAGGGAATCCCAGGCTCCTGGCTTCAACTGTTGCAGCCATCTGGGGAGTGCACCATTGGATGGGGGATCTCCTTCTCGCTGTCTCTCCCTTTGCCTCTGTCAAGCTGCCTTTCAAATATGTTGTTGTTGTTGTTGTTTAAATGGCAGTGTCAAGCAGGTTGACAGGAACAGGAAACTGGGTCTTCCCTGGCTCTTATGATTTCGAACGGTGGGAGCAGATCACCCCTCATTCGTGCCAGTGGCCCAGGCTACAGTGGCTGGTGGGGCGCCACCCAGGGCATGCAGGTATCTCACGCGCCTTCGTGGGAAGAATGTCACCTCTGCTGTGTCTGGCCCAGCTCAGAGCAGGAGGCAGGAGCCGCAGGAATGGCATCAGACCCCACCAGGTGGAGCATGCTAGCGGACCTGGTCACTGGCCCTCGAGTCAGGGCGGGGCAAGATCAGGAGAGACTGGCACCACGGAGGAGCCAGGGGTGCTGTGTGAGCCGGCACCGGCAGAGTGGCGGGACGGGCAGCTTCCCGACACCTGGGGGAATGCGCCTTTGGACTGGGTATTTGGTGGTTTGAAGGGATTAATAATTGTGGGTGATGCCCACGTGTGAGACCCCAAGGAAGCTCCTGGCTTTGGCCTGGCCCAGCCCCAGGTGTTGCTGCTATTTGGGGAGTGAACCAGCAGATGGAAGATCTCTCTCTCTCTCTCCCTCTCTCTGTAACTTTGCCTTTCAAATAAATAAACCTTAAAAAAAAAAAAAAAAAAACAGTAACTGTGGGTGATAGAGGTGCTGTGTTGGCTAGCTAGGGGCGATGCAAGCCCAGGTATTTCAGTGGAGCACCTGACGTCATGATGTGTCTGATCTGCTTTAAAATCAGCATTTAAAACTAGCAAATGGCTTAAAAAATAATAAGTGAGCCAGCTCCGGGCGGGGAAGTGGGGGGCGTGTTGAAATGTTAGCCACTGCGGATCTGACAACATCTCTGCCAGCATGGCTCCCGGCCACTGGGTCAGAGGTCCCCACAGCCAGCCCACTCCTCCAGGCTTCTCAAGAACAAACCCACTCATGCGGATGGGGGGAGACAGACTCGGGGCTCCATCACCTCATAGCAATGGTAATAACTACAGGCCCCACTGGAGAAAGTCTTCTGCGTGCCGGGCAAAGCGGAAGCACCTGCGGGCCTTGGGTCTCCCAGGCTGTGTGCCCTCAGGCTAGTTACTCGACCTCTCTGCGCCTTGGTTTCCCCTTGTACATCAAGGAGATGAGGAATCTCATGGGGGACTGGGGGAATAAACGGGAGAGTGCTAGGGCCTGGCACACGGGCTCCAGGAATGGCAGCTGCTGTTTGGCAGGGGCATCACTTCTCGGCCTTTGAGCTGCGATCAAGTGTTTGGCAGGAGCCCGGGTATAAGGTCCTCAGACCTAGGACAGGACGGAGGGGCTGGGGGATGCAAGGGCTGGACTGTAGGGGGACAAACCCCGAATCTGGGAACAGAAGTCCTGCCTGGTGGGACCAGCATGCTGGTGCAGCGGGTTAGGCCGCCACTTGGGATCCCCACATCTCATGTGAGTACAGGTTCAAGTCCCGGCTGCTCCACTTCCGATCCAGCTCCCTGCTAATGCGCCTGGGAATGCAGCAGAGGACGGCCCAAGTGCCTGGGCCCCTGCACCCATGTAGGAGACCTGGGTGAAGTTCCTGGCTCCTGGCTTTGGCCTGGCCCAGTCCTGGCTGTTGGCTGACATCTGGGGAGTGAACCAGCAAGTGGAAGACCCCACCTCCTCTGTTTCTCCTCTCTCTCTATCACTCTGCCCTTAATAAATAAAGAAATCTTAAAAAAAAAAAAAAAAGGCAGGAGGACAAGAGGGACCTCGAGCCGCGTCACAGCCCTTCTGCCTCCTGGGGGGAGGCAGATGGGGTGAGCAGGGAAGGGGGTACAGGCACTTCAGACCCCCTGACCTGTGGCCTGCAGCACTGGGCCACAGCATTCTCGGGGCAGAGGTGGGCAGATGTATACAACAGTGGCCCACCAGGGAGCCCAGAACAGAGGCGGAGTCAGTGCAGCTCCCCCGCTTGCGCGGTGAGTGGGGAAGGGGCACTCACCTGCTCAGGGGCCTGGGGCGGGCTCTCCAGGCTCTGCAGCCTGCCCTGGACGTCCCGCATGTTCTCCTGCAGGGCTTGCACCGTCCCCAGCAGCCACGTGTCCAACTCCTGGGGCCCCAGCAGGCTGCACCCCAGCCCTTCTGCGGAGCACAGACCCAGGGAAGGGGGCTCAGGAGGCAGCTCCGAGGCTGCCCGGGCCCAGGAAGCAGCAGAGGAGAGCAGGGTCCCTCGTACCAAGTCCACCCCTGTGCTGAGTCATGGGTTGCCGGGGTCTGAATCCCAGCACAACCCCTTCCTGCCTGTGTGACTTAGGACAAATCATTCACTTTGTCACCCGAAAGCTGCCATCTCTCAGACAGGGCTGCTTGCTTACAGGGATAAAGCAGGTGACATTTGGGAAAGCGCGCCTTAGTGGACCTGGCACACAGGAAGGTGTCCAAGCAGACAGGGCGGAGACTCCCAGATGGGAGGCCCAGAGACACAGGACGACGTCCAAGGCCATGCAGCTGTAGGTGAGAGCTGGGTAGGACTCCCCCTGCCCCCAGCACCTGCAGAGGGTGCAGAGTCCCAGGTGGCCCCGGGGCGAGGCCCAGGGCAGGGACGTAGCCCATGCAGGCAGTGTCACCATTTGGCAGCCCTTACTGCACCCGGCTGCTCCTCCAGGGCCTGCACTGGACTTCCACCTCTGCCCACAGAGGGCCTGGCGCACCAGAACCCCAGAGAAAAGCAGAGGGGTGAAAGGTCGGGCAAGAGCTCACCTTTCTCTCTGGGGGTCACCAGGCTGTGCGTGGTGGCGGGCTCCCCTCCAGCCGCACCCCTCTGCTCTGGCCAGACCTGCTGAGAGGAGTCACAGATGCAAAGGTGGGGGTGGAGCGACCAGGAAGGGGCCACAGGACAGGAGGGGTGGTCTCACCAGCTCAGGCTCCAGCTGCTCCAGGGAATCGCAGAAAACCTCAGCGTCCAGGTCCCGGGGTGGCTGAGCCTCTGGGGAGGGGACGCGGCAGATGGGTTAGTGACAAGGACACGGGGCACAGGCACCTGCTCAGGAGACACATGAGACACGGCCCCAGCAGGCTCAGGTGGGCCCTGTGGGAGCCCTGGGACAGGGACCCCAGCGCCTGACCCTGGGCATGAGATGCGAAGGGCGCAGCTGGCACCCGGCCTTCTCCCCTCCCGGCTCCTGGGTCTGGTCCTCTCCCTCCTGCCCACAGCCTAACCTGGGCTTGGGGGTGCCAGCTCCTTGAGGGGGCAGGGAGGCTCCAGGACAGTCCCTGCACCTCCATTTAGCACCTGTGCTTTCCAACCTGTCAAGACACAGCACGTGGAGGTGGAGGTGGGGCTGGGAAGAGGCCGGCACCTCCCAGGGAGAGCAGAAGCTGGGGCCCTGCTGGGGTCCTCACGGGGCCTCACCTGGGCCCTCTGCCTCCAGCCCCTCTCCAGCCGAGCAGCCCCCTCGACTACACCCAAGACTGCTCACTCAGCACCTGCAGGGTCCTGGCCGGGGTCTGACCTGTGACCTTTCTCAGGAAGGCTTCTGGCGGCTTTGGCATATCAGGGATCACTTGGTACAGGGGCTCGAAGTAAGCAAACATGTCCTCTGCCACCTCACCCAGGGGCACCGTGTCGATCACCTGCGGGCAGGGGTGCTATGGGAAAGGGGCTGGCCCTCCTGTCCCCCGGGGGCCGGGTCCCTCCACCCCGCCCTGCTGCCTGCCACCACCTGCACCCAGGCATGGCTGGCGGGGGCACAGGAGGTGGTGGCCCCCACAGGGTTGTCAGGTGGAGGCAGTCGGGGCCGGAGAACCTGCGGCCCCCCTCCTACCTTCTGTGCCACCAGCTTCATCTCGGCGATGTAGGCAGACATGGCCTCCTCTCTGCTCATCTTGCCCAGGCTGTTCCAGGCATCCCTGGGGGGCAAAGGGCAGTGAGAAGGCCGGCGGGCGCTCAGGCTTACTTGCCCGCAGGTGGGGAGCTCACCACTTATATCGTCCGATGGGGTCCCAGAACCCAGGCCGGGGGACCAGGCAGGGCCCGGTGGTGGCCTGCTTGTAGTAGCTGTAGAATCGCAGCATTTCTTCGTAGGACGGCCGGTAAGAGCCTGAGCAGAGGGGAGGAAGTGGGCCGTACAGCATCAGCCCCAGCTCCGAGGGGAGACCACCCTTGGAGACAGCAGCGATGGGGAAGGGCCCCACCCAGGGACACGAGCCAGTTGGCCGAAGGGACCCCCTAGGGCAGCCCCCGGCAGGGACCGGACGGCTTCAGGGCTACGTCCTCCTGGCAGTGAGACCCCGGCCATCGGGAGCCCCCAAGCGGGAGAGGCGGCAGCGGGGCGCAGCCTTACCGTTCTTGGGCAGGTTCTGAATGACGCTGACCGCAGCCTGGAACTGTTTCTGGCAGTCCGGCCCCGGGCTTTCGTTCTCGATGCCCATGCTACTGCGAGCCGCGGGGTCCCACTCGGAGCGGCTGTGGGCCCCGGCGGGAGCAGGCCTCGGAGCCCACCCTGGCTCCCACCCACGGCTGCACTTTGTAGAGGGGCAAACTCAGCTGCCCGGGGGCCCGAGAGACACCCGGGACGTCCGAAGCTGCAGCTGAGATGCCTCTTCCCACCTCAGGGCAGCGTGGGTGGGGCCAGGGTGGCGAGGGTCTCGGTGGGTGGAGAGGCAGGTGGCAAGGGTCGCAGCGCCGGACAGTGTCCAGACGCGCCCTCTTCGGGGTACATCAACTCCTGGACAGGCGAACGCGCAAGACAGGAGTCAGGGCGGGGCGTGCGGCCTCCCACCAGACCCCCGCACTCAGGCCCGGCCGGCACTCACCCAGCGGCGCCCACCGCCCGGGCTCCTACCTGGGTCCTCTCTCGCCACCAACCCGCGGCTTCCGACTGACCTCAGGGTCCGGCCGGGTCGGGATGGGGACGCGGAGCGAGGGGGAAATTTTCAGCCAATGAGAGAGCCCGTTTCACATTCCTCTTTTGTACTGCAACCACTCAGCGCGGCCCTTTCAAGATTATGCAAAAAGCTTCACAGCGCCTCTCCCAATCAGGCGGGGCTAATCCACGGATAGAACTCCCCATCCCGCGATGGTCACAGGCGGGCGGCAGCGTCCCCTGGTGGACAAAGTGAAGGATGGCGGAGTCCTTGCGCCCCCTGGTGGAAACCCGCGTCCCTACGCCGAAACTGGCCCTGAGGATCCGAGCCGTTCAGCCCAGCTCTTCAGGTTTTTAAGGGGCTGGGGAGTCAGGTGCTGTTGGAAGATTTAAGAGTAAACCAGGAGAACGGTCAGGGAGGTTATTTCTGAAGGAAGGAACAGCACGGTCAAAAGTACAAAGGCGAAGGCTTGATAGGAACAAAACTCAGGACCTCAGCGCGGAGTCCCCAAGTTGAGGACATCTGAGCACCGGTGGTGCGTGGAAAGCAGGTGGCACAGCTAGGTCCTTTCCCCGAGGGTTGGCCAGCGGCGGCCGTGTGCTCCCGGCTCTCCGCCCCGGGCTCGGGCACCCGCTGCAGGCAGCGCAGCCACCGGACACCCCCTCCCCCCGCGCCGCTCTCAGACTCGGGGCTCCACTGCAGCCAGGGCACCCCCGACGCGGTCACCAGGGCCCGCGCGCCGTCGCTCTCCTGCGGTGAGCCACGGACACCTCCACAGCGTCCGGCGGCTCGGCAGCCAACCTGCCCGAGCCTCGAACCCCAGAACCAGCGGCCGGGTCTGCAGGCTTGGCGCCACCTCGCCCTCCGCGGACCAGTCCGCGTGGAGATTACCCACGGAGGGGGCGGCAGCCGGCGTGGCGGGCTGGGGGTGGGGTAGGGGAACCCTATGACGTCACTGCCAGCGTGTTCCTGCCCACCCCGTCCCGCGTGGCTCCGCTCCGGGTTCTTCGGGGATCCCACGTCCGAGGTCGAGCCGACTGCACACGCGCCCCTTGTCTGGCTCCCGCCAAGGAGGGGGCGACGGTGCCACAGGGCATTCTCCCCCGCAATGGGGACCCGGGCCCCTCCTGGGGCCCGGAGCCCAGGGGCACTTGGGGAGGCGCAAAGGCGGACGCAGGGGCGCACCCGCGCCCGACCAGGGGTCCCCGCCGCCCGGTGCGGCCCTCGCCCCGCCCCCTGCGGCCCGCCCCCCGCCCAGCTCCTCCCTCCGGCCGTCCTTCGCCGTCTCCTCCTCCCGGCTCCTTCCCGGCGCCGCTAAGTTTCTGCGCTCCGGATCGCACGCAGAGCCGGGGCCGGGCCTGGACGGTGTTCCCGCTGCCCTGCCCCGGCGCGCAGACCCTGGGCCCGGCCCCGGCCCCACCGAGCCATGCTGTGCGGTCCCTGGAGGAGCTGCCGCCGCCCGCCCGAGGAGTCCCCGGTGCCCGCTCGGGACGCAGCGCCCCTCGAGCTCCCGCCCGCGTCCCCGGAGAGCGGCGCCAGGAGGCCCGGGCTGCGCGCGCTGAAGAAGATGGGTCAGTGACGGGCCGGGGCGTCCGGGGTGGGCGCGGACTGTCGCCGGGGGCGCAGCCGGGGAGGGCAGAGGCGTCCTGGCCAGCCGCTCGCGGGCTTCCCAGGTTGCGTGGGGTCGAAAAGGCTATGGCGAGGCGCGAGGTGCCAGCACGGTCCCGCCTGGGGTCGCACCTGGGGTCACCGGGGCACCCTGGGCAGGGCCAGGCGCTCAGGATGTCCGTCGTTTCCCACCAGGAGGCGCCCGCGGGTCGTGCTGGAGCGCAAATTTGGGCAAGGGGCGGGATGGGGTCCCTGAGGTCAGAGACAGTGGGGCGGGAGCGAAAGGCTTGGGGTGTCCCTCTCGCCTCCCAAACACCTTCCAGGGAGCGCGGGGTGGGGCGGGGGCGATCAGGGGGCACCTCCCAAGCCTGCCCTCCAGCCTTGGGGGCAGCAGCAGTGCCGCTGGGCAGGACCGGTCTGACTGGTGAGCACTCAGCGGTGGGAGAAGTCCCCTAGAGACGGTTGGGGGGAGTCCCTGAGCTTCCGGAGCACAGCCCAGGCCGGGCGACACCTGGGATCCTCTTCACCTTCCAGAGAGGTAATGGCGTAATTCCCATGTTGACTCAGACACTGCAAGGGATTTGTCTCCGAGCCCACGGCAAGTAAAGGATGAGCTCTGATTAGCCCCCAGGCTGTGCCCTGTCACAGCCACAGGCGGCCTGAGAGTCTGGGCAAAGTGGCTCACTGGGCAGGTGATGGGCTGGACCGGCAGGATGTGGGGGAGAGCATTTTGCGCAATGCCAAGTGTAGCTGTGCAACCAGCGAGGGCGCATTGGAACTGCCGCTGTGAGGGTGCACGGGGGGGGGGGTGGCGAGGGAGCAGGGGGCAGGGCTGACCCCGAAACTTCTGCAGGTCTTGGGGTGGAATCCAGGGGGCCAGCTGCCAGCCTCCTCTCGCCGCTCCCTCAGCCTGCATGTTTTGGGTGCTGACTGTGTGCTGAGCTCTGTGCCGTTCTACACACACACACACACACACACACAGGAGATCTCTGCCCAGCTCCTCATTCAATCATGAATGCGTTCAACAAACACTCAGGACTGCCTGTGGTATGCTGTGCCCTGGGGCGTCGACAACTCACAAGACAGGCACAGCCCTAGCACCACTGGGACTGGTTGGGGTCAGGAGGGGTCAGGAGTCAGGGGGCGGGGCTCAGAGACAGCCCTGCTGTACCCCAGAGCCAGAGGGAGACTCCAGTGGACCAAGCCAGGGTGGGGGAACGCAGGAGGCGGCCAGACCCTCCAGGCCCCTCCTTGTGGCCGTAGGGACTTTATTGGAGAACAGCAGGAGCCCCAGAAGTCTTGGGCTGGCGGGCAGGCAGGAGGCAGCCTGTGTGTGTAGTGTAGGGTGGAGGCTGGGGTAGATGACCGCAGGGGTGAAACAGGAGACCCGCGGGCTGGGGACTCCCGTGGAGAAATGCGCTCTGGGCTGCAGGTGCAGCGGAGATGGGCTCTGGGGCCTCCCAGCAGGTACACCGGGGCTGGCTGTGTGGCCGGATCAGAGAGGTGCCTCGGAGTGGGGGGAGGGGTGCTCCCAGTGCCGGGAAGTGATGTGGTTTGGTAAGGGGAGGTATGGTGAGGCTCCTTGCACACCCATCTGCCAGTTCACTCCACACCAGTTCCCTGAGCCCCAGCAGGGCATAAGGCCAGGGGCCGCGGCGATGGAGACGGGTGGCGCACGGTGCAGTGGGCAGAGTCACCTGTGGACCAGTCAGACGCCGGCACGGGCGCTCCGGGCACGCCTGAGTGGGTGTCACCGCCTTCCTCATACTGCCCGGTCCCGTGACTGCCATGGGAGGAAAGCCCAGCCTCTGGGGATTGCCCCAACCTGAGCCACAAGGAGCCTAGGCACAGGGTGGAGACGGAACCCAGCGACCTGGGGCCCGGCCCCTCAGGCCATGGGGGTGGGGAGGGCCTGGGCCTATGGGAGAGCCGCCTCCACACCCCTGGGGCCCGCCCCTCCTGCCCCTCCCGGGCTGACCCTCAGCGCCCATCAGTGCCATCAGTGCCGCACCCCTTAGGCTAACAGAAGCAATTTTATTTGAGATCAAGATTAGGATCTAGGGCAGGGAGCGGCTACGAGGGGCCCCAGAGAAAGGGAAGGGCCTTGGCTCCGGGCAGCCAGGAAGGGGAGCAGGACTGCCCCCAGGGAGAGTGCCAGTCCCGAGTCACCTGTGGCTCTGGCCCGGGCTGGGCTGCTGGCCTGGCAGAGGCCCCGTGAGCATGCAGCTGCCCCGAGCCTGTGGAATCTCCCACAGCCATGGCAGGTGGGAGTCAGGTGCAGTCACGCCTGGGGGCCTCCCGGAAAGGGGCAGCGCCCCTTGTTTTCAGCGATGGTTCTTCACGGCCAGAATTAGCGAATACTAATCAGCACCTTTGCCAGACGGTGCCAGGGCTGTCACCATATTATCTCATTTAACCGGAGATGGGTGGTATGGTGAGGGGGGCTCCCAAGAGGTTTGGTGCCGGGCCCAGAGTGCAGAGTCACGAGTGGCTGAGAGATTTGAACCCAGCAGTGTGGGCCGGAGTCCCTGCTCACAGCGATCGGTACGGGGGCAGGGGCTGCCAGCCCTCTCCTGGGGACGGCCTCCAGGTCTACGCTCATACAGTGGCCTGTCACCATCAGGCCATCTGAGCCACTCGCGACTAAAAAGCTATTTGCTGTTTATCTGAAATTCACATTTGCTGACGTCCTGAATCTTACCCAGCCACTCTGTCTCCCCAGTGCCCCGGGTGTGCCCCCGCCCCGAGGCCCCGCCCCCAGCCCTAATCTTTCCAGTGGGCAGGGGACTGAGTAGGCAGAATCCGGACCTCTCCCTGCCCCGCCCCTGCACACACACCAAGTGCCTGGGGCTGGAGAGCTGATCTGATGGCCCTTCGTGGGTGTCCGCTCCGGGGTGAGTGGGCTGCTGGGGCAGGGTTGGCAGGCGGGGAATGTGTGTGTGTGTGTGGGGGTCTCTGGAGCAGCCCTCAGCCCCGGCAGGTAGGTAAGGAGGGCTGGGGGCTGGCCTGTCCCCGCCCTGCCTCCTACCCCCTACCCCCAGCCAGGCTTCACGCCTGTTTTGCGAGGAGACAGCCATCTCCCCCTCCCCATGTCGCACCCGCGGCCCTCCTGCCACCGCCTGTTTTTCCTAACGGGTGATTTTCCAAGGAGCATTGCCGGCCCTGGCCCTGAGCCCCGCCCCTCCAGCCTGGGTGTGGTGATGGCGGCCAGGACCCCCGGAATTCCAGGCTGCCTGAGCCTGAGGACTGAGGGCCGGAGCGCCAGGGGACTCTAGGCCGTGGTGTGTCCTCTCCCCGAGCCACTAGGAAACGCCACTCTCCCTCCTCCCCCTCTGCCTTGGCTCCAGGCTGCCGTGTCTCACATTCCTGCCCGAGCCCCGTGTGCGCTGGCTGCCGGCTCTCGCTGCCTGCTTTCCTCCTAAGCTAACCCACCTTTCTGCCTCCAGCCACCACACACACCCCGTGTGCATGCCTGGGGAGCCCCGCAGTGCTCCCCCTACCCCACCCCTGCATGCACCCTCCCCCCACCCTCTGCCGTGCGCTGGTCACTGGGCATGGGGTTTGGCTTTCTGCGCTCCAGTGGCCCAGCTGTGAAAAGGCTGGGTTTGGAGGCTCCCCACCAGCCCCTAGCCTTGGCCACACAGACAAAGCTGCACAGGCCACAGACCACACACAGCTCACACTGCTCAGGCCGAAGGTAGAAGCTGAGAAACTTCGACCCTGCCCAGTCCTCACCACCCTGGCCCCTCTCTGGGGGCCCGGATAAGCAGTGGGCTTGGCAGGGTGTCTGGGCCCAGCTGAGTGGTGGGAGGCACCTGTGGCCAGGTAAAGACCCCCAGGCCTGAAAAGGACAGGTCTGTGGGAGCGCCTGGCTGCCTCTTCCCTCCGGGGGCACGGGTTTCCTTCTTTGTTATCACATGTGGAGCCCCCGCTGAGGGCAGCCCTGCCTGGGGGTCGCTCACGGCAGCCACACACAGCGCTGTGGGGTTTGACCCCCACCTCCACGTGCGCCTCTGTCCCAGGACAAGGCGCTCGGCTGCTGGGTGCCTCTCCGGGGGTGGCTGTGATATGTTCGGTCACGTGCTAAAGACTCTGTCCACGGAGTGTGCAGTCCTCTGGCATATTATATTATTCAGCTTCAAAAACTGTGGCAAAGTACATATGACTAAAATAACTTTTTTTTTTAAAGTTACCCATTTGGGGGGGAGAGAGAGAGAGAGAGAGAGAGAGAGAGAGAGAGAGAGAGAGAGTTCCCATGCACTGCTCCCTGGCCTAAATGCCTGCAGTGGCAGGGACAGGGCTGGGTCGGAACCAGGACCTGGATCCAGGTGTCCCAGGTGGGTGGCAGGGTGGTTCGGTCCCTTGAGCCATCACCTGCTGCCTTCCAAGATCTGTGTTATCAGGAAGCTGGGGTCGGGAGTCGGAGCTGGGTATTGAACCCGGGTACTCTGATGTGGGACGCCCGCATCTTAAGCAGTGTCTTAACCACTAGACGAAATGCCTTCCCCCATTCTAATCATTCTTAAGTGGCGAACTCACTGGCATGAATTGCATTCATATTGTTGTGCAATAGGTCATCACCATTATCTAATTCCAAAACACATCCTCATCACCCCAGACAGAACCACTGAGCAGAGCTGCCACTCCCCGTGGCCCGTGGCCCCCTGTTGCCTGTAACCTACCCCCTGGGCGCCTCACGGAAGCAGAATCTGCCGCACGTTGTCCACCCGTGTCTGGTTCCCGTCATGTAGGGGCTGCTCGCTGAGGCCCGCCAGGCCCGCGTAGGTTGCGCCTCTTTTTGTGGCTGAGCGCGGCTCCATTGCGCGTCTGGGCAGGGTTTGTTACCATCCAACTGTGGCGCACACAGGGGCTGTTCCCACCTGCTGCGGCTGTCCACCCTCATTTTTCCTGCTGTTCCCCCACCCACTCAATCCAGGCCACAGCAGGAGGTGGGCGGCTGTGCACCTGTTCAGAGTCTGCGGGACTGGGCCTGGCAGGAACTATGAATGCTTCCTGGGCAGCGGGGCGGAGGGCCTGGCCCTCCTGTTGCCCCATTGCCTTCCCTCTGTCGGTCCTGCCCTTCCTGTCTGAGCCCCTGGGCCCCTCGCTGCCCAGGGTTCAGAAGCACAGCCTCGAAGTTCCCAGGCTGGTTCTGTGCCCTCCTTCCACTGGGGTCTGGCTGGGGCCAGCGTCAGGTGATCCAGGGGCAGTGTCAGGTGGCTGGACAGCCTGGATGTCACCTCTTCCCCCAGGAGTAGAGGCCCCCCTGGCTGGGCACCTGCCCTAGTCTGGGCCCGCCTGGACGAGACTGGACAGAGAGGCCCTGGTGACTCAGCTCCATTTCCGGCCTTCCTCACTCTCCAGCCTCCCCCGCCCCCACCCACCTGGGCCCAGCGCTGGCCCAGCCTGGTTGTCACGGCAACAAGGGTCTCCTCTCCCGGGTTGAGGGGGTGTAGAAGAGGTGGCCCAGCCACTTCCCTGGCTGCCCTGCCCCACCCCACCTGTTGGGTGATTTCTGTGCCGGGATTTCAGAGCCCCCAGGCCTCTGCCTGGGGGGGGGCAAGCTGAGGATGGGAGGCTCGTAGCCCCCGCCTGCCCCATCCACAGACAGTAGCTGCTAGCTAGGCTCTGCCAGGAGCACCATGCAAGGGAGTATGACCTCATGCTGCCCTCAGTGATTAAGGTCTCCTGGAATGACATTGTAGGTGTTTTTTTGTTTGTTTGTTTGTTTTGTTTTTTGTTTTGTTTTGTTTTGTTTTAATAATTAAATTGAAAAGTGCTCTTTGGAGTCAGGGAGACATAACTTCCACTAGAAGACAAATCAAGGACGGCTTCCTGGAGGAGGTAGTATCTGAATGGGTCCTTGCTTCAAGGACTCAGATATGAGGGAGAGAAGGGACAAAGGCTCAGAGAGGAGAGGCCAGGGATTCGAACTTGAGCCCTCAGGTCAGAGTTTGCAGGTGGGCAAGCCGGGGCCCTGGGACTACAGAGCCAAACTTGGAATTAGGGGTCCATTAAAGGGAGGGGAATGGGGGTTTGGCACAGTGGCTAAGACCCACTTGGGATGCCTGGTAGATTCCAGTCCTGGCTCGGCTCCATTTTCGGATCTCTGCTGATGAGCACCCTGGGAGACAGCAGCCATGGCTCAGTACTTGGGCTCCAGCCCCAGGACGAGCCAGATGGGTTCCAGGCTCCTGGCTTTGGCCTGGCCCAGCCGGGGATGCTTCAGGCAGCTGGGGAGTGGACCAGTAGCTGGAAATTTCTTTTCGCCTTTCACATCAAATAAAAATAAATTCACACAGATCTACAAAACGCTAAGGGGAGGAGGCCAGGCCGCTGTCACGCTGTGTCTGGCCCCCGCAGTGGGTTTTGGTTTCGCGATCTGGTTTATGGGCCAGAGCCTTCGCCTACAGATTCGGGTTCTGTTTCTCTGGAAACGCTGGGCTGCCATCCACTCCTGGCTGTCCCTTCCCTTCCCAAGGCCGCGGCTTCGCCTGGTTCCCACCCCTGCTGCTGCCCCTGGCTTTAGACTCCTGCTGGGACATTTGGAGCAGGCAGCACCAGGGCTGGGCACCAGGCACAGAGGGCGAGAGCGAGAGGGTCGGCTGCGCCGTGCAAATGCCCGACTCTAGAATTTGTACTGAATTGGGGGCTTGCTGTGGCCTCTTTTTGGTGGGGGGAACGGGAGGCTTAGGCCATGTAACAGAGGTGGGACTTGATTCCTGGACCCCAGAGCTAAATTCTGCTCCTGCCCTGGCTGCGGGGAGCGGAGAAGACAGAACGGCAGCAGGACTGTGCGGAGTTGGATGCCTGCTTCCACCGCCTCCCAGCTATGCAAATTTTTTTTTTTTTTTTAAGATTTATTTAGGTAGTGGGACGCGCCGGCGTGGGAGCGGGTATTGACATCCTATATTTTTAGGAAACAGGAAACTGTAGAGCTGAATTATTTTTCTCATATTGCTGCAGAAACTCCAAGCCTGGATCCCCTGTTCAGCAAGCCGATCACCGACATCGGGGGCGTTTATCGAAAAGGGGGACCAGGAGCCCCTCGCCCCTGCTTCATTCCCAGGCTCCCTGCAGGGCGAAGGGGGAGGGACCTGTGGATGGAAGCCGGGCTGAGGCGTGTGTGGGCGCTCGTGGGCAGCCCCCAGCTGGCCCCCCGTCTGGTCAGTGGTGTCGTGAGGACAGAGGGGGCTGCGGTCAGTCGGGTGGGCGGTGGTGTTTGCTCAGAGCCTGGGGTCCTTGGACATCTAGCCTTGTCCATAAGGCACGTGGGTGACCCCATGAATCTTGTGATCAGCTGGGGGGCCCTCTGGGGCCGGGGATACCACTCCCTCAGTCTTGTGAGTTAATGTCAGTGAAACAGGGCTTTTTGTTTTCTTTTAGTTTTTATTGATTTATTTGAAAGAGTTCCAGAGAGAAAGGAAGAGACACAGAGAGATTTTCCATCTGCTGGTTCACTCCCCAGACGGCTGCAACAGACAGGGCTGGGCCAGGCTGAAGCCAGGAGCTGGGAGCTTCATCTTGGTCTCTCATGGAGATGCAGGGGCCCAAGCACTCGGGCCGTCTTCCACTGCTTTCCCAGGCGCATTAGCGGGGAGCTGGATTAGAAGTAGAGCAGCCAGGACTCAAACCGGTGCCCATATGGGATGCCAGTGTCGCAGGTACAGCTCTTACCTGCTACACCACAGCGCCAGCCCAAGACGGGGCTTTTCAAAGACACTTTAAGTTATAGGAGGGAGATTGGACCCCGGGCTCCGCGTGTCTACTTCTGCCACAGCAACACGTGGCATGCACGAGGGCAGACGAGAGACAGATCATCTTCCATGAAGACAGACTTGCAAAATGCAAAAAAAAAAAAAAAAGCAAAATGCAAAAGTGAAAAAAAGATTTATTTGAAAGGCAACATTACAAAAAGAGATATCTTCCATCTACTGGTTCACTCCCCAAATGGCCACAATGGCCAGGGCTGGACCAGGAGCTTTCTCCCAGTCTCCCACATGGGTACAGGGGCCCAAGCACTTGGGCCATCTTCCACTGCCTTCCCAGGCGCGTTAGCAGGGAGCAGGATTGGAAGTGGAGCAGCCGGGACTCGAACTGGTGCCCATATGGGATGCTGGCACTGCAGATGGAGGTGTAGCTGCTACGCCGCGCACCGGCCCTCTAGCTGGGGAAGTTCCTGGAGCCTGTTTCAGTACAGCAGGTGCTTTGTCAGCATTTGCTTTCAAAATTTTAAATTATTTTCATTTTACTCGAAAGGTAGAGAGAGTGTTTCCATCCTCTCGTCCACTCCCTAAATGTCCATAATGACTGGGGCTGGACCACAGGCCAAAGGTGGGCGCCAGAAACTCTGTCTGGGTCTTCCAGGTGGGTGGCAGGGACCCAGGTACCTGAGCCATCCCGCCGCCTCCAGCGCACATGAGCAGTGAGCTGAAATTGGAGCGGAGCCTGGACGAGCAGGCATCCTGATGTGTGCTGGGCCAAATGCCTGACCTCAGCATTTGCTTTTTTTTTTTTTTTTTTTAAAGATTTATTTATTTATTTGAAAGGCAGAGTTACAGAGCGGGAGAGAGAGAAAGAGAGAGAGAGAGAGAGAGAGAAAGTCTTCCTTCTGCTGGTTCACTCCCCAAATGGTTGCAACGGCCCGAGCTGGACTGATCCAAAGCCAGGAGCCAGGAGCTTCTTCTGGGTCTCCCACATGGGTGCAGGGGCCCAAGCACTTGGGCCGTCTTCCCACTGCTTTCCCAGGCCATAGCAGGGAGCTGGATCGGAAGTGGAGCAGCGAGGACTCAAACTGGCGCCATATGGGATGCCGGCACTGCGGGTGGTGGCTTTACCTGTTACGCCACAGCGCCGACCCCAACATTTGCTTTTATTAAAGGAAAGTGGACACTGGACAGTGTCTGTGGGCTGAGAGTCACGTGGGGTGTGGCAGGGGCTGGGCAAGGGACCACCTTTGCTTCAGGGCCCCATGGGTAGGATGACACCTGTAGACCAGCCAGGCAGGGCTGGTGCCAGAGCCGGGCGGCCAGGAAGAGGGGTGGGAGGGGCTTCAAGACTTTGCTGGAGGGCACTGAGCCCCCAGGCACCTACACCAGGCTGTTCTGCAGAGCCCCGTGTGTGTGTGTGTGTGTGTGTGTGTGTGTGTGTGTGCGCGCGCAGGGGGTGGGAGTTGTTAGGGGTGTGGTGGGGGTGCCTGGGGCTGCTAAACCTGAAGCCAAAGGGGGCGATGGTCGCCTGTTCAGAAGAGAGGCCTGCAGGGGGCGGGGACCCTCACGGAAGGGTGAGGCCTGCGGTTGGGGGAGCTCCGGAAGACGGGGGTGGCAGGGACCACCTGGGGACCGGGTGCAGGGAGCCCTAGGGAGGGAATGCGACCCTGCAGGAAGGGCCGGGCCCAACCGCAGGTGCGTGTGCCCCGCCAGGGCTGACCGAAGATGAGGACGTGCGAGCCATGCTGCGGGGCTCCCGGCTCCGCAAGATCCGCTCCCGCACGTGGCACCAGGAGCGGCTGTACCGGCTGCAGGAGGACGGCCTGAGCGTGTGGTTCCAGAGGCGCATCCCGCGCGCGCCCTCCAAGCACATCTGTGAGCGGGCCGGCGGGGACGCGCGCGCCGGGCGCGGGCACGGGGCCCCGGGCTTCGCCCTGCAGCCCTGACGGGGCACCCCCCCACACAGTTTTCGTGCAGCACATCGAGGCCGTCCGCGAGGGCCACCAGTCCGAGGGCCTGCGACGCTTCGGAGCCGCGTTCGCGCCCGCGCGCTGCCTCACCATCGCCTTCAAGGGCCGCCGCAAGAACCTGGACCTGGCGGCGCCCACGGCCGAGGAGGCGCAGCGCTGGGTGCGGGGCCTGGCCAAGCTGCGTGCGCGCCTCGACGCCATGAGCCAGCGCGAGCGGCTCGACCAATATCCTGGCCTGGCGGGGGCGGGAGCCGGGCCCCTGCCCTCAAGGGGCCCAGTCCGAGGTGGTGCCCTTGGCCTTTGGAACTGGGGGGTGGGGACATGCGCCCTGGCCTGAGCTCCCACCAGTGGGGGAGGCACGACCCCTCCTGTAGGTCCCCTCCCCAGTCTCATGGAGGAGACGCTGCGCCTATGCCCTGGGGAGAGAAACAGCCCCCGCCCCCCGGGAGCCCGCAGATCCGGGTGAGGGAGACCTCCCTGCCCCCACGGGGGGGGGGAGCAGTCTGCTGTGGGCCTTTCCTGAGCACCCACACCTGGATACACTGCTATCTGCACCGCGCAGACTCCAACCAGGACAGTAAGATGAGCTTCAAGGAGATCAAGAGCCTGCTCAGGATGGTCAACGTGGACATGAACGACATGTACGCCTACCGCCTCTTCAAGGTGGGCTGCCCCGCCCGCCCCGCCACGCCCCGCTGCTCCCCTAGCACCTGCGTTCCCCCTCATCTCCCCTCCCCTGCCCCCAGCGTTTTGGTGCCGGTGGCTGGGCCTGGGCCTGGTTCCTCGTCCCCCCTCCCCTGGGGTCCCTGAGCCAGGAGGGATTGGGGAGAGGCACCGGAACTTCTTTCCTTGCCCTCAGGCGGAGCCAAGGGTAGGGTGGCACCTCCCCCACCCCCGAAGTGAGCAGCAGAGTGTGCAGGGCATCTTGGGGCGTCTTGTCCACACACATGCGCACCCTCCCCCGTGCAGCGTGTGCTCCACGCGTGACCCTGACCTCATGAGAGCGCAGGCAGCGGGGCAGGCTCTGCACCTGTGACCCGGTCAGAGCAGGCGGCACATGCCTGTGCTGCCAGCCTGTGACCCTGAGAGACGGGAGAGGCCGTGGCACCTGTATAACTTGGGCCGCGTGGACCTCACCATGCAGCCTAGTTGAATGTGTGTGTGAGGACCGTAAGGTGGAATGGGCACTGTGGCGTAGGCGCTCCGTCTTGCCCTGGTCATTTCTCCTCCCACATCTTGATTCCTGGGCTGTACGGGCAGAGGGACAGGCACTGAACCCGAGAGACCTTCCTTAACCCAAGAGGTCCCAAGTTTCCAGTTCTGGGAATATCTCAAGGAAATGGACACAGGTGCATCAAAGTAGGTTGGAAATCATAATACAGAGCTTATATATTCTTTATCATCAAGAACCGAAAAAAAGGTTGTGCTGTAACTAGGATACTGGTGCAGCATAGTAATATATATATATATATGATATATGCCATCCTATAAATAAGACGCCAGGCAAATACTCTTACATACATCTCACAAAATACACAAAGAAGTGACTTCCAGGACCTGTTCATCAATCATTTTGGGTGCAGAGGAGCGGAACCCTTCAACAAAGGGCTCGGTGACATTTTCGACGACGTTTCTGTCGGGTTCGCACGGCGTGGCTGGTTTGGGCCTCGTCGCTGCCCTGGCTGTTGGAGAAGCCTGTGCCGTCTGGCCGCTCTGAGGTCATCTTGGACAGACTCGCTGCAGGAATACTTTGCTTCCTTCCTCCCCGTGGTTCCTCATGGCCTCGCTGTAGGTGTGCTAAGCAGGTGTCTCTTTGGCAATCCAGCGCCCTTACGAGATCTTTCTTGTCTTTGCTCACCCCTGGGAAGGTGCCACGTGCTTACCTCTGCGAGAAGCGGGCTATGTGGGAGCCAAGCCGCCGTGTCTGTCCACGCCGCCCCTTGGCTGGGGCACGGTCGCTCTACCCCTCATTTCCTTGTGTCCTGTCATTGACCTTTGCCGAGTGAGTCCACGGGAGGGCGGTTCGTTCCCACAGTGACGCAGTGTGCCCCCCCCCCCCCCAGGAGTGCGACCACTCCAACAACGAGCGGCTGGAGGGCGCAGAGATCGAGGAGTTCCTGCGGCGGCTGCTGGCGCGCCCGGAGCTGGAGGAGCTCTTCCACAGCTACTCCGGCGAGGACCGCGTGCTGAGCGCCCCGGAGCTGCTGGAGTTCCTGCAGGACCAGGGCGAGGAGGGCGCCACCCTGGCCCGCGCCCAGCAGCTCATTCAGACCTATGAGCTCAACGAGACAGGTGGGCTCTGGCGGGGTGGCCTTGGGCCAGTGCAGCCGAGCCTGAGCCCTTGGGCTTTGCTGTTCCCGGCTGTGGCCACCATGGCGGGTGGGGTGGGGATGGGGGGAGGTCCCCTCGCCCCTTCCAGACTCAGCTTCCACATCGGTAAAATGGGAGGTCCTGTGTCCTCCAGGGGGCTCACTGGGGAGCAAACGGCATGAACTGGGCGGAGTCTGGTCCAGGCGGGCCTTGAGGGGCACTGGGGCCACTCCCCCTGACTTTCCCTGTAGCCAAGCAGCACGAGCTGATGACGCTGGATGGCTTCATGATGTACCTGTTGTCGCCTGAGGGGGCTGCCTTGGACACGGCCCACATGTGTGTCTTTCAAAACATGCACCAGCCCCTCACCCACTACTTCATCTCCTCCTCCCACAACACCTATCTGACCGACTCCCAGATCGGGGGACCCAGCAGCACAGAGGCCTATGTTAGGTACTGGGCGTGAGAGCTGGCTGGGGACCCCAGCTTGGAGGCGGGGGCGTGTGGGACTCCCACTCTGGGCTGCCTGGGGCCTCGCCTGCCCCTGCCTGCCCTTGCCCTGCCCCGTGGTGCTCCCTCCACACCTGCCCGCCTGTCCATCGGCAGGGCCTTCGCCCAGGGGTGCCGCTGCGTGGAGCTGGACTGCTGGGAGGGGCCCGGCGGGGAACCCGTCGTCTACCACGGCCACACGCTCACCTCCAAGATCCTCTTCCGGGATGTGGTGCAAGCCGTGCGTGACCACGCCTTCACGGTGCGCCCCGGAGCCTGCCCGGTGCCCCTGCCTCTGCCCACACCCCAACCACCCTCAGGGCCCCCGGGGGGACCCCCTGCCTGCAGAAGTGGCACTTGGATGAGTGCTGCGGGGCCCAGTGGCAGTGGTGCAGCTGCTGGCGCCTCCCAGCTGGCTTTCTGGGCGTGGATGGAGATCAGGAGCCCCCGGGGTGGGGGGAGGTCTGGACGGTGGGCGAGGACTTCCTCATCCTGACTTCCAAAGAGTCAGGCCTAGGAGGAAGCCTGTACACACTGCGGCTTACCAGCTTACCGGTCCTCAAACCTCGGGGGTGGGAGTTTGCCACCGAGCTGACATGGTCAATGTCATTAACACTTGCTCAGCCCTATCAGAGAACACCATTCTTGCAGCAGGCCTTCAGCCTGTGGGGGCCAGTCCCTCCTAACCTCTGCCCCTCCCCAGTGTGCGCCCACACCTTTGCCTGCCTGTGCTGACAGGCCTGAGGGTCCTGGCAGGGGGAGGGGGAGTGGCTCTGAGCTGCTGCCCTTCCCCACCGCAGCTGTCGCCATACCCTGTTATCCTGTCCCTGGAGAACCACTGCGGGCTGGAGCAGCAGGCTGCCATGGCCCGCCACCTCCGCACCATCCTGGGGGACATGCTGGTGACAGAGGCCCTGGACCCCCAGAACCCCGAGGAGCTGCCATCCCCAGAGGTGACGACCCCTGGCAAAGGGAGGATGTGTCTGTGGACCCCCCCTCCCCGCCGTGTGTGCCCTCACCTCCCCTGCTCCCCTGTCCTGACCTCTGCCACCTGGCTCTCCATTCTTCACGGTGCCCACCCCACCCTCTCACCCGGCCTTCAAGGGTTCCATGCCCTGGCCCTGCCTGCCTGCTCTGTCCCCGCGTGCAGAGCCAGTTCAGCGAGCGAGGCTCGGGTTGGCGCTGGAACTCCCTTCCTAGCCATCTGAGCTTGCCAGGCACCACCTGCTTAGCGTCGCAGCTCAGGGGCCCCAGTGACGCAGCAGATGAAGCTGCCACCTGCATGGGTACCGGTTCAAGTCCCGGCTGCTCCGCTTCCAATCTAGCTCCCTGCTAATGTGCCTGGGAAAACACTGGAAAATGGTCCAAGTCCCTGGGACCCTGCTACTTATGTGGGAGACCCCCCCAAAAAAAAACAACCTCACAACAGATGGGGCTGGACCAGGTCGGAGCCAGGAGCCAGAGGTTCCAACCAGGTCTCCCCTGTGGGTGGCAGGGACTCTAATGCTTGAGCCATCCTCCCAGGCACCTTAGCAGGGAACTGGATTGCGAACAGAGTACCCAGACACACACTGGCACTCCTGTATGGGACGTGGGCGTGCCAAGCATTGGCTTAACCTGCTGCACACAACGCCAGCCCCAGGACCTTTTATGAAGGGGGGGCCTTCAGTCCTGAGCTGCCGCGTTCCTTTTAGCCGCGGCTGCGCAGTAGCACTGTGACGTATGCAGGACCCGCGCCAACTGATGGTCTTGTAGGTTGTTCTTCACTTCTTCCTGTTAGAACCGCCACTCACCTGTGTGTCCCCCCGCCCCAGCCTTCACGTGGTGGTGGGTGCCCCCACTGACAGGATGGCACGGGGGCCGAGGCCTTCATCCCCCCCCCCCCCTTGGCTTCTACAGCAGCTGAAGGGCCGCGTCCTGGTGAAGGGGAAGAAGCTGCCAGCCGTGCGGGCCGAGGACGGGCGGGTTTTATCAGACCGGGAGGAAGAGGATGAGGAGGAGGAGGAGGAGGAAGAGGAGGCAGAGGTGGCAGAGCAGAGGCGTCGGGTGAGTGAGCCTGGCCAGGCCAGCAGGCTTGGGGGAACGCGAGAGCGGTGAGGGAGAGGCTCAGTCCTGCCGCCGAGCTGGGTGCCGGTTGGGGTCGGGACGGGAAGATTGGAGGGCCAGGGGGTGCCCGCTGAGGCTGGTCTCCCAGGCCAAGCAGATCTCCCCGGAGCTGTCGGCTCTGGCCGTGTACTGCTGCGCCACCCGCCTGCGGACCCTGTGCCCCGGCCCCGGCCCCCCTCAGTCCTGCCGGGTCAGCTCCCTCAGCGAACGCAAGGCCAAGAAGCTCATCAGGGAAGCAGGTAGGAGCCGGGACAGCAGGTGGTGGGCTGGGCGGGGCGAGTGCTGAGTAACAGGCGATGCTGGTCTCAGGCCAGGGCTGGGAGGGTTGGAGGCTGGGGGGCGTGACTGCTCCTCTCTAGACAGGGGAGGCAGGGAGGTCACGGCCCCGGGAAGGGGGGGTACCTGGGGCGCCTGGCCCAGCCCTGCCCCAACTCTGCCCAGGGAACAGCTTCGTCAGGCACAACACCCGGCAGCTGACCCGCGTCTACCCGCTGGGCCTGCGGATGAACTCTGCCAACTACAGCCCCCAGGAGATGTGGAATGCGGGCTGTCAGCTGGGTGAGCGGCCGAGGGGCAGCCAGGGGCTTCCGGAGGGCGGGAAGTGCACTTGGTGCTCTAAGTCCTAGAGAGTTGTCCACGGTGGAGGAGAAGCCAGTCGGCCTTGTTTCTTCCTTTTTGGTGCAGATTGTGATTTATTTTCATTTAAACGAACTTATTAATAGGTTAGTTCCGCAGGGTCACAGCCAACGCCCGATTACACCAGAATCCTCATTGAACGTGATATTTAGTGTGGTTTCCAGAGACAATTCCCTTCCCTCCCTCCCTCCTTCCCCTTTTCTTCCTTCTTTCTTCTTTTTTCCTCTTATTTTTTGATAAAGTTTTTTAAATTTACGTTATAGTCAGAGCCTTGCTTGCTCTTGACAAGGTCGGTCTCCCAGTTTTACGGGGTAGGAACTTCCACTCCCCTCCCCTGCCACACACATACACACACGAGACACAGACACACAGATAGACACATGCACACACAGAGACAGACACACAGACACCCTGGCAGTCCCACCACATCAGCAGTGACAGGGTGGGCTTCAGGGCACCCTGAGCACCAGGCTACCTATGGAAACCCCAGCCCTCCTGGTCCTGAGTCTGGGGCTTCGGAGCCCTTCCCACTCCTCCTCTAACCTCTCCCTCAGCCTTAAGGGATACCAGGGATGTTTCAGGCGTTGGCAGCAGGGGCTGGGTACCCTGGGAAGGGGGTTGGGACCCCCTGAGTCCTCTCTCCAACAACACCTGTTTCCTGCAACTGAGCAGTGAGCAGAGGGCCCCACGGGGGCCGTGCTCTGACCCCACTCTGTCCACAGTGGCCTTGAACTTCCAGACGCCGGGCTACGAGATGGACCTCAATACCGGGCGCTTTGTCATCAACGGGCAGTGCGGCTATGTCCTGAAACCTGCCTGCCTGCTGCAGCCCGACTCCACCTTTGACCCTGAGTGCCCCGGGCCCCCCAGAACCACCCTCACCGTCCAGGTCAGCAGCTGCATCGGGTCCAGCCTGGAGCTGGCGCGTGCCAGTGTGTCGGTGGCGGGGAGGCCGGACACAGGTCTGGTGTGAAGGCGGCCGCGGCGCTGAGGCCAGGCCCTTCCCTCGTCCCCAGGTGCTGACTGCCCAGCAGCTGCCCAAGCTGAACGCCGAGAAGCCCAACTCCATTGTGGACCCACTGGTGCGCGTGGAGATCCACGGGGTGCCCGCGGACTGCGCACGCAGGGAGACCAGCTACGTGCTCAACAACGGTGGGTGGGCCCGCTGGTGGAGACCAAGACGGAGACCGAGACCGGGCTGCGGGCGGGGGCGGACATGGAAGGCAGCAGGAGGTGACCGCCGCCCTCTGCCCTAGGCTTCAACCCCCGCTGGGGGCAGACCCTGCAGTTCCAGCTGCGGGCTCCAGAGCTGGCGCTGGTCCGCTTCGTGGTGGAGGATTACGACGCCACGTCCCCCAACGACTTTGTGGGGCAGTTCACCCTGCCGCTCAGTAGCCTGAAGCAAGGTTGGTGGGGGCGGGCGGGCGTGGGAGGGGGCTCCCAGCCTTGCTCCCCTTGGAGCCTGGGGTTTCCTCTGCAAGCCTGCCCAGAGCCAGGCCCGCGCCCCCCAGGGGCGGCTGATGCCTGGCCGCCCTCCCCCCAGGGTACCGCCACATCCACCTGCTGTCCAAGGACGGAGCCTCCCTGTCCCCAGCCACGCTGTTCATCCACATCCGCACCCAGGGCTCCTGAGGGCCCCCGCGCCACCCTGGCTCCCTGGCTCGGCTGAGGGCGGGACGCACGCCAGGTGCTGGTCTCACTTGGCTGCTGACGCCACAGCTGCTCTGCTGTTCAGAGTTCCCCCCTGAAGCACAGGCCAGGCCACTGGTCTGTTCCCCGCCGAGCTGCTCATGGGACCTCCCCACTCCTAGGGCCTGGACATGGCCCTGATCTGCTCCTCCTGTCCTCAGCCCACCCCCCACCCCCTGTCTGCTGCTGGCAGATGTGGGGAGCAGGACCCGGTGAGCCCTCAGCCATCCCAGCCTCGACCCCTTGCCCCACCGTGGGCATCGGCCGGCCTCAGCCTGTCTCCCCACGTAGGTGTTCCCCTAGCTGTAGAACCTGAGTCCCCTTCTCTTCCCAGACAAGAAGGGAGCCGAGGCCAGGGATTTTGGCAGTAGGATTTTGTGTCTTAGAAGAGCCCTGAAGAGGCCATAATGAGGTTATTTGAAAAAATAAAGAGGCTTGGCCGGCGCCGCAGCTCAATAGGCTGATCCTCCGCCTGCGGCGCCAGCACCCCAGGTTCTAGTCCTGGTCGGGGCACCGGATTCTGTCCCGGTTGCCCCTCTTCCAGGCCAGCTCTCTGCTGTGGCCCGGGAAGGCAGTGGAGGATGGCCCAAGTGCTTGGGCCCTGCACCCGCATGGGAGACCAGGAGAAGCACCTGGCTCCTGGCTTTGGATCAGCGCGGTGCGCCGGCCGCAGCGGCCATTGCAGGATGAACCAATGGAAAAGGAAGACCTTTCTCTCTGTCTCTCTTTCTCACTGTCCACTTTGCCTGTCAAAAAATAAAAATAAAAAAAAAATTTAAAAAAACAGGCTGTTTCACCCCTGCTGCCCCTCACGCCTCTATGACCCCACAGCCGCACGGGGAGGGACCTGGCTGGGGAGGGAGTCCGCTGGGCTTCTTCGCCAGCTCAGCTTGGACTAGCCCGAGGCAGCAGGAGATGCCACAGCTCAGAATAGCTCTGACCCTGCTCTTAGCAAAGCTGCTGCCAGCATCATGAGACACAGTCACACTCACTGCCTCAGACACAGGAGGGACTGCAAACGGGGAGGGGGCAGGACTGTCAGGGACCCCAGACCTCACTTTCCAGGACACATGCCAAGGACTTGAGGCTCCCCTTCCCCCAGCCTAACAGCTTGTCAGAAAAGAATGGTGAACCACCAGAGGGTGGCCTGGGATTGGGCGGGGCTAGGGCTTGGATCAGCTCCAAGTCTTGCAGGAACCAAACCTGGGGCTGGGGCAGATGCTGAGAGTGCTGTTTGGTTCAGATGATTTCCTGAGTTGAACAAGGACGACCAGAGCCTCAAGGGGCGCAGAAGGGATGCACTGGGGAGCCCGGGTCCTGGGGTGCTCAGGGCAGTTGGGAGGGCCAGGCAGCCAAACCGTAACCCCAAGGTGGGAGGCATGGCAGGGCTGAGTGTTTTAGTGCATGAGGAGCCATGAAGAGCCGTGGGTCCCCCAGAGCCAGCTCTGGACAGGTCCTGGCTGGGGGTTGTGCCAGGCGAGCACCAGACTCAGGGCTGAGCCCCTTATCGGCTTCTCCTTTCTGGGTTAGTGTAGCCGGAGGCAGGGTTGTCAGCTAGGACGAGCACCCCACCCCACCCCCCCCCGGAGAACTGCTTTGAGGGCAAGAGTTTGAGGCTAAGGGTAGATGGGAGCCACAGTGGCGACCTCCCGCAGGGCTGTGTTCTCCCAGCCCAAAGCTAAGGCAAGAGTGAAGGCAAGAGCCTGCAGGAGCCGGAGCAACCTGGGCTGGGAACGGGAGGCTCGGGAGGTGTCAGGCAGGCCGGGCGTCCTCTCAGGTTCCTTGGAAAGGGCCTTGGAGGCAGCAGCCACAGGGCCGGGATAGGAGCATGGGGTGAGTTCCAAAAGGTACGAGGCAACGTGAAGGCTAAATGCGGCTCCAGGGCCCAGCCGCGGGCCCCATGGTTCATGGAGGCCTCAGGACACGGTGGAAAGGCCTGGTGCCTGAAGGAGCCGCTGTGGACCTGGACCGAGGGGCTGGGACTGGCTCTCTGCCAGGGTGCTAGGTGCCGGCCCAGGGCCCAGCTGCTTCTCCGGTGTGGACTTGGGTCAGCACCACTCCTCTCTGGTGGGAGGGAAGATGTTCCGTGTGGCCGCTGCCATGGGCCCTCCTTGCAGGGCTGTCATCCACTCCAGGCCAGGGCCCAGGCCCCAGCGGTTCCAGTGCCACCTGCTGACCAGAGGAATACCAGGACGGCAGAACAGTTTGTTCAGCTGCTTCCTTTATTAGAAACAAGTGAGACGGATTGAATAGAACAATTCATTTGGTATTTCCTCCCCCACCCTGGAAATGGATGCCCCCCACAGCTCAAAGAAAAGCCGAGACAGAAAGGTGAAGCTGCCGCCTCCATTTGCAGAGGGACCTGCCTGCCAGTCAGTACTTGCGTTTCATTGGGTGAACTCGTCCTGAACAGCCTCTAGGAGCAGTCCGTCTGCAGGCCCGGCCCCACCCTGCAGCAAGGCAAGACCGGGGCCTCGGGTCTCCTCTGGTGTGGCAGTGGGGTGGGCGCCGGCCAGAACCACTCCTGCCCCTCCCCTGACCAGACAGTGAGGTCCTCTCCTGCTTCTAGACTGCAACCAGTGAAGCTGCCCCAGGCCCTGGGCCCTTCGGCTGGTCAAATGCTGGTCATTCCTGGGGAAAACCCAAGCCCACAAGGACACCCACCTCTGGGCTTCCGAGAGCAAGTAGGGGGTGCAGTGGCAGTTGGAAGGGAGTTGCAGGCAAGGCCTGGAATCTTCCACGAACCTGGGAGTTCAAGTAGCTTGGTGTGGGCCGGCCTTCCAAGCCAACATCTTCGGCAACAGGCATGCAGGGGAAACGGGCTTGACATGGGCACCGGCCTGGCACGAGGCCTCCTTCCTGCCTGGTTCTCCCTCTGCACGGAGACGGCGTCCGTGAGGTCAGCGCAGAGGCAAAGGCGGGAGGTAAAAGTCGTCTATGAAGCACAGCAGCCAGGAGGCCCCGACAGCAGACGATGGGGCCAGGCCCGAGGCGGCTTCCAACAGCGGCTGCCTGAGGAGGGTCAGGTCAGAGGCCTGGGCTCCTTCCTTTGTTTGGTTCAGGCCAGCATGGGGCCACTGTTCTGCAGAGTTCCCTGTGGGGACGCCCTGAACCCCACGAGGGTGCTCAGTTCTCACAGGGCTTGAGTGAAGAAGCCAGGGGCTCTGAACAAAAACGAGACCAAGAGCAGTCCCCAGCCGACGCCCTGGAAGGGTCCCCAGGGGGAGGGAACAGCAGAGTCCAAGGAGCAGGTCACTTGGTTTTGGTGAGGGAGAGGCTGGAGGCTTTGCCAGGGCCTCACCGTTTCCATTCCACGGCTGGGCCACCCTCAGCACAGCTGCCTCCAGAGAGCTGTGCACCCCAAATCTCCGAGGCAGTGTGGGCTGGGACTTGGCCCAGAACTGATCAGCACTAGGACACAGAGCCTTTCCAAGTTCAGGTCCCGCCCAAGGTAGGAAAGACTTGGGTACTTTGATCTTGATACCCTCACAGGTCGGGACTGGAGGCGCCGGGCCTGAGGTCTGTGGGGCTGGGAGGCAAGCCCCGCCTCCCCGGCTGCTCCCTTCTGCGGAGTGCAGCGCACATCTTGTGAAGAACAGCAGCTTCTTTGGTCTGGGTGTCTTGGAGCCAAGGGGTCAAAGGCTGGCCAGCACGGACTGCTGGGGGCTGCAGTCTGGCACAGGAACAGCAGGGAGAAGGGAGGCCCCTGCAGGCCCGCGGAGGATCCGTCCAGTGGAGCTGCCGGCTCTCAGCAGTCTGCAGGGTGAGCGGCACCGAGCAGTGGGCACGTGATTTCCTCCAGCTTCGGGGACTCGGCGGAATGAGGCTCCGGCAAACCACACCAAAACCCACAGCCTGCAACAAACCCCGCTGGCCTGCAGAGGGCGCCTTCAGTTAGCAGGACACGGCTGGCCCGGCCTCCTGGCTGGGGCTTCCTTCCCCTACGAGAAGCTGAGAGGCGAAAGCAGCAAGGATCCCCTCCCCCAACACCATACACACGCTCTGCACTCATCTGCTTGTTCTGGGGCACGGGTGACACCCAAGCCTGGTCGGGAGCTGCTGAAATGCACAGCCCAGTCCCGGGGCCACGTGACTGAGCAATGCCTCTGTGGACCACCACGTGACCAAGTCTTGATTGCTTGTTGGAAACTGGCAGTGTCAATAACCATCACTCCCACCAAGAAAATCCACAGAACAGCTTCAGTGAAGTCAGACTCAGACAACGGCCCTGGGAGATCACTTGCTGCTGAGTCCAGATCTGCCTCCAGTCACCACTTCGGCTGCCGCCGTGAGCTGTCTTAGAAAGCAGCACAGCACGACACGGCAACCGGGCTAAAGGCACAGGCCAGGGCCTGGTGGCTAAAGGGTACCGGCCCCACCACCCTGGTGACAGCAGGGTGCTGGCTCTCTGCTCTCTCTCAGAGGAGCTAAGCAGGGCTCGCACTGACGCGGTCTCTACAAGGTCCCAGATGCTACAAGGAGGTCCGAGGTCCCCTTCAGACTGCCAGTCACCCTAGGCAGTGGCAAAGCAGAATCTCACAGAAGATTCTTCCATGTAAGATTGGCAACGGCTGGCTAGAGCCTTTCCGCTGGGCTGCAGAGCGACCTCCTCCGGGAGCAGGCCCAGGCTACGGGAAAAGGGACTGGATCAATGAGCTCTGCTTCCGTGACTGTCCCCGGTGCTCAGTCTCAGAATCCAGAACAGACCTGGCCCCGGGTGAGGGTCAGCCAGGGGCTCCACTGCCACCCGTGAGACCTGAGCCCTCTCCAGAGCTGGCAGCATCCCCCCGCTTTCCCTCCCTTCTCAATCGTTCCCGCCAATTCCCAAAGGGAACTGCATGGGGGATGGGCTTCCCAGATCCTCGTTCTCCTGCTCCCTAAGACGTCACTGCCTGCTTGAAGGAGACGGTTAACTGGACCAACATGTCTGCCTGCCACTGTCCTTGGGTTCCAATCGTGAGGAATGATCTGGATTCAGCTTTCCATCAGAGACCAAACATCCTTGTACATTTGGAACATGAAAGATATTTAAAATATTTATATATATAATATATATATATACTTTTATTATTCACCCGTTAACTCCATAATATGCCAATCACGAGCTACTTTTCAGCAGTTACATTCCCTTAATCACGGCTGCACGAGGATGTGAGTAACTGGAAAACAGGGAGACCAGAGACACAGCCAAGATGACATCACGCAGCCTACGCCATGGCAACACAATTGTCAAGTTCGCTGGCGGTTTGGTAAAGCCGGTTCAGTTCTGTTCCCTTAGCCAGGGATTCACGTTTGTGAAAACTGGACCAACAAGTGGTGGGGTTCCATTTCCTGGTTTGACTTCTCAGTGGCTTTATCCAGAATCTCACTGGCGCCTGGTTACTGTAGCACCAGCCCAACCTAGGAGAGCCAACAGGGAGAGGCAGGGCTGAGTGCATGGTGGCCCAAAGAACCTCCCGCTTCCCAGATTGGTCCTGAAGTTCCGGCTGAGCCCACAGAACACCAGCCAGGCCGTGAACAGACTCACACAGAGCCTGGGCCTCTTACTCAACCTCTGTGCCATGGTGTCCCTGTGTGTTAGATCCTTCAAAGCAAGACGGCATTGAGGAAAACCGGGTCCCAGGTAGTGTCCTGCAAATGCTGACCGGACCCAGGCTGGGGCTGCCCTGTGCAGCTGGGGAAGGGTCACACGGGACGAGCGTAGCAGCCCGAGAGGAGAGACACAGACCTAACTTCCTGGCTAACCAAGGGCACCACAACGTCCATGGTCTCCTCCGTTCCAGCAGAGGCGGCGGCTCAGCCGGTGGGAAGAGAACCTAGAGACCACTGGAGCCTGCCTCCTCTGCCATCGTCACACCACTTGCTAAGAGGGGACACTGATACGAGGGATGCATAAGGAGCACGTTTTCCTAGGGCTCAAACACCAGGCGACAAGAACCCAGACTGCTGCTGTATCCCAGGCCCCACCTGCATACAGCACCTACCTTCTCCGCCCCCATGCTGGGGCACTTCCAATTGTACAGGTAATACTGCAGGTTGCCATCCCCTATGCCAAACTTGAGCTTCTCCAGGAAGGTTTTATTCTCCATGAGATCCAGTGCATTGAACACATCAAACCCTTTCTGCACAGCGGTGGGAAGCAACAAGGACAGGTGAGCACAGGTGACGGCTGCCTCACCCTCCTGGCCCCTCTGCTATCCTACATCGTGAAACCGCCCCGGGTGGCCACAAGGGCCATGTTCCTTCAGAGGCTCCAGCTGCTCTGCCAGCGCCAAACTCGGGACAGGCCCTGGGGGCACACATGTGACCGGCGCAGACCTGCCCTGTGGATGCACTCCTCACTGCTGGGGCCCAGAGCGCCCACAGGGCGGGATGGCGTCAGAACCCCAGGGTAAGGGGCCCACACCCTCGTCTCCCCACGCAGAGCCCTCGGCCTGCTCCCACGGGGTGCGCCCAGAGCAGGCCCGGCCAGTGGGGCCCCTCTGTGGCGCCTGCCCGCTAGGCTGAGCTGGAGGAGCGCGAGGCCTTCACTGTCTGGACACGCCTCGCTTCCTGCCCACCTCGGATTCCGGCTGAAAACTGCAGGGCCCTTATCCAGACAGAGCAGGAGGGTGGGGGCAGCGACCTGCGGCGGGCTGTGTTCACAGCCACCCCCCACCCCACAATCTCTCCAGAGCCCTGGGCGCCCCCGGCCCGCGCCTCACCATTTTGGCGAGAACAAGGGCGTCACTCATGAGGTCTAGCAGAGGGGTCTGGGTGTGAACGTTGTAGAAAGAATAAGCAGCTTTGAGACTCTTGTGGGTTGGATGGTTCATGATGGTGGAGGGCAGCGTGTAAAAGCTCAGGAAGTCCGTCACCTCACCGTTCGCGCTCTGAGGGGAAGACCAGAGGAAAAGGCAGGGTCACGCGCACAGCGTGGCAGTGCAGCCCGGGAACAAAACCACTCCTGTTACCGCCCCTCCAGCCGAACGGGTGGAAACTGAAACGGGATACGCAGGGGCGGGAAGCGCTCTGGCTAAGGCTGAGGGCACTCGAGGACAGCCAGGCTGGGCTGCGGGCTTCCACTGCCTGGGCATCACCAGGGCCTCTCCCCGCAGCTCGTGTCCGCGCAGACAGTGCCGCTGGTGTCTGCCAGCCCTGGATTACGCTGGGGCCCGAAGGCAGGCGGGGAAGCGAAGTGAAGGCTTACCTGACTCTAAGGGGCTCGGTGCTCTCTGTTCTGCGTGGTCACAGAGCCAGGCCCAGAGGGCATCTTTTCGGCAAACACGAGTTTAGAGAGGAGCAAACCTGGCAGGCCAAGGAAGTGCGGAGCCAACGGAGCTGCTCCGGGAGGCGCTGCTCTGCGACTGCGCGGGCAGCCCGGAACGCCCCGCCCCACTCACCTCCACCACGAAGGTGTCGATGATGTTCTCCTGGGGGTAGAACCAGTGCTCCACTTCCTCCCGGCTCATGACTGGCGTGAGGTGGAACTGCTTCAAGTAGCGGGTGAGGAGCTGGTGCACTACGGGAATGTCCTTCTTCTCCATTGGTCGCAGACCAGCTGTCTTGGGGGTCTGGAAGGAAGACAGCAGTCAGCATCATCCAGGGCCAGCAGAAGCCGCTGTCCCTGCCGTCGTCCTCAGCCAGTCCTCACTCCCCGCGCAGACCCCTCCGGCCCACATCCTGCCCCTCAGTAGGTTCTGCTCTTGGCTGGCCGGCTGGGCTGGCGTCCAGGTCGGCTGTTGCATCACTCCCATCCAGGCTGCCTTCCTGAGAAAACACTTCCCATCCTGCCACGCCCTTGTTCCAAACTCCCCGCAGCCAGAGCAGGGTCTCTGCCCTCCGGGCCTGCGGGCTGTGCCAGCTGGAACTTGGGGATAGCCCTGTGGCTCTCTAAGAGGGCATTTCTGCCCCCCAGGGGACATCTGACAACACCAG